TGTGACAAAGTCAAGAGCACCAGAGAAACACTCAAGAGAGCTGGGCATGGGGGACAGAGGGACACACCCAGTTCATGGGCCGGGAGAATGTTTGCTTTATTTTGAAGCAGACAAACACTCAGGCAGCCCCTTGGGCCCTGCAAAGTCACAAAGGAGTTCTGCTTCAGGCCAAGATGAAAGTCTCAAAAATGAAAGTCTCACAAAAACCACAGGGGCTTGTGAAACCCATGCTTGGTTTATTAAATGAATCACAAAGCTTTTTATCACATATTTCTGCCTCCGAGTCACTTTACACTTCAGTTCACGTGCCAAATTCTTTGTCTTTTCCCTAACTGTGGACCCTTGTAGTACACTCTGTTTTGGAATCTGTTTGAAATCCATGAGCTTATGCTGAAGCAGAGCTTTGGGGTTTCTTTTGGAAGCCTGGCATTACTCATAGCAGGTCTCCATTTCTGAGCAGAACTGTGCACAGGCCCCGCTGCAGCAGAAGTCAACGCTCACCCTGTAGGAGGAAACAAACCAACAAGATATAAGTCAGGCGCTCCCTATAAATGTTTGTGGGCCTTCGAATTTAGTAACTGAATATGGTTTGTGCTTCCCCTGTAAGTGAAGAATAACTATTTTCCAATGGAGTTAGCAGGAGGTAAAGCTGAAAATCAAAGTGTGAGCTTTGTGTTTCCTGACAATTTTCCTTTAACAAGGTAGTTCCAGCTGCTAACTGCATTTTATTGCATTCCTCAAAGACAGATCTCCGTGCGAGAACACTTTGAGAGCTCTGCTCCAAAAATAAAGGTACTTGGAGCTATTTTTATGTTAGGTATATTTTACCAGTTGGTCTCAGAGCCCTTGGTGCTGCCCTTACCCAGAGCCTCACTCAGGTATGGCACGGGCTGGAGCCCCTGGCTCTGCGTTTGGTTTCCAGGCAGCTGGAGCAGCGGGTGCTGCTCTCACTCACCTCCCTCCTGTCCCAAACTCAGGAAGGTGCTGAAATCTGGCACCCAATGACATCCCTGTGCCACAGGTATCTCACTCAGCCATGCAGGCTTCCAAGCACGGGAGGAAGAAAAGTGGCCTTTCCACCTGCCTGCTGTCAAGTGCAATGCTGAAAGACTGAATGCCCACCCTGACTGTCTTCTTGGGGGAACCCTCCAACCCCCAGAGACTCCCAGGTGAATGCTGACTGAAGGAAGTCCCACACACATGAAAACCCATGCCCTTGTTAGCAATGGGGACCCTGGCAGCCATCCTGACTGAACATCCGGATTGGAACGGAACGAGCCCACAGCTGATCCCAATTAGAGCATTCTGATGAGGAGATTCACTCCCACCCTTCAGAACACTGCAGACAAATGCAGCTGATGACATGGCCCACCAGCCAGGAACAGCACAGAGCAATCAATCACCCCAAAACTTCAATGAGCACCTCTATCATCCCATTTCAGTCAGTCAGAGTCAGGGCACGGCCACTTTCAGTGCAGAAAGCTCCTTCAGCACTTTTAGCAGGGCTGTTGTTAGCCCAAAGACAGACATCGGGGGCCAAACATCTGGGGGAAGCAGAAGGGCCACCACCAAAGTGTGCTGAACACCTTCCAGAATTTAAATCCATTTGTTCTTTGTGCAGATGTCCTGGACAGAGGCTGACAGAAGAGAGGTGTTGAAGGGCTGTGTAGTGTGTGCACACATAAAGAAAATTCTGCATCCACACACACTGTGACCTACTGGTTTGTGATGATGATACATCAAGGCCTGAGCAAGGATAACACCCCCAGCTCACCTGCAGCCATCAGCCTGTGTAAGGAGCACAAGGCTCTGCAGCCAAGCGAGCCCCCAACAGGACCTCCAGCCCCCACCCTGCCAGGAACAGAACCCACCTCACACCCACCCTGGGTAAACGTTGGCTCCCTCAGCCAGGACACTCAACTCCAGGAGGGGGACTGTGGTTTTCTTTGCAATTAGAACTGGTGCATGAAGCCCCATCCCATGAAGTCCCTGTCCCTGACAGGGGCACTGGCAGCCCGGCCCTGCAGCCAGCAGCCTCCCTACCTCCACACGCCGCTCCTCCCAGCACCCCGATCTCCTCCTGCACCCCTTGCACCCCGATCTGCCCACGAGCCCTGCACGCCCCTCTCCCCCAGCACGCCCCTCTCCGCAGGTCGCACAGTGCCCTCAGGTGGCCGCAGGGACTCCCCAGGTTGGAGACAGAAACGGGAGCACAAACACGACCACAAGGTGTCCAACACAATTCTTTATTGCCTTTGCAGGAGAAACTCCTGTTTCTTACCAAATACGTTATTTAGGGAGAAACATCCCACGGCTTCCCGGGAATGAGAGGATCAGTAGGTCAACAAAAGATGTCCCTACAGTGTCAGCAGCTGCTGCCACCAGACAATGAAGTTTTAAGACTGATTTCAGTGGGCCCTGGCAGATGTATCAGAGTAGTGTACTCTGACACCCTTGAAAACTGCCCGTGTCAGAACTCAGGTGTCCGTGCACCTCCACAATTACATTTTCAAGCCAGATTTGCTCCCTCCTCCTCCATGCCCAAGTGGGATGAACACAAACATACTGCTCAGAGGCACATGGTGCCCAGTGTTTGTAAGCCCTGATCTGAGATCTTTTCTTTATTTGTAAGGACAGAACTCAAACATCTTTCTTACATGGCATCAGCCTGAGGGAATCTGTGTTACACTCGTGCATCTGCAGCACCTCATGTCAGTAAGTCTCAGCATTTTTTCCATGATACAAAGCATCTGCCACAGGAGAACAAAAGTTCCACAGCTGGAAGTGACTCCCTTCTATCCTCATGGTTTGTTCAGCTCAGCCTCTTCTTCAGACACCAAGTCCATTTCAACTTGAAAACAGGACAGTCCAAGCATTTCCTGCTGAGGCCAAGAATCAACTCATTCTGCTTCCAGAAAGCACCAGCAGAGCTCCTTCAATTCCTCGTCCCCTTTGCAGCATTCCAGAACACACCAGGCTGGCAGAAGCTGGTCAGTGTCAGTCCCTGCTGCTCTGTCAAGAGATAGGTGAGCAGAGCAGCTCTTGATGGTTCTCCACAAACAGCGAGACCTTCAGGAGTGTATCTGAGTCAGAGAGAAAACAACAACCTCGTCAGCTTAAGGCACTTTACCTATAGTCTGTACACCCCTAAACCTATGCTGTTTCTAAAGGCAATAAAGAAAAGTGTAAGTAAAACTGACTGAGCAGTGAAATGGATCACTGAGCCCTTGTTACATTGGAGGATGTTGCTTCCAGCTGTGCCCAGGTGTGATGGTGAGTATTTTCAACTGAAGCTGACCGAGACCTCACAGCAGATCACAAAGATCAACTGAGCAGGATGAGCTGCTGCTGCCGAGCCCGGCACAGCCACCACGGCCAGGCCTGTCTGCTGTCACCAGGGCAGGGACAAGACCACCGAGCCCCAGGAAAAGACCCTCAGGTCCGTGCACATGGAACTACCTTGAACAACGTCTTCCTTGTGGTGCTCCAAAATCCTCTCCCAGGACTGCGGGAGGGCTTCCATGTCTGCCAGGCTGTCACAGCTGAGGCGCTGCAGGAGCAGTTTGCTGTCCAGGTACCTTCGTGCCCGGTAAGGACAACAACGAGAGAACATCCCCCCGGCGTTGCCCAGAGCCCCCTCAGCAGGATACAGGTGCCGGTAGTAGCGCTCCACGTCCTGCAGCCCCTCCAGCACGTCGGACAGCGAGGGGCAGCGCGGCCCGCGCCGCAGGGCC